TTGATATTAGTAGGCATCTGAAATGTACTGTGTCTAAAACAGAACTCTTGATATGTCAGAGCTTGCTATCTGCTCACCTGAGTGTCCCTCAGTATTTCCCATTCCCCCAGTTGCCATGGTCACAAACCTTTATGTCATCCTGAATCTTTTCTTGTCCTTACTTCTTACATCCAATTTACCAGCAATTTCTGCAGTGTATTTCTGTATTAGGGTAGCACAGGATGGTGTTAAAAAAACAAACCCCCAAATCTCAGGGCTTACCATAAAAGTATTTTTGTTCACATGAAAGTCAAAAAACATGTTCCCACTTAGTAGATGGCCTTGCATGTGGTCATTTAGGGTCCCAGCTCCTTTAGTTTGGCTGCCTTCCTCTAGGGCTCAGTGCCTTCCCCATTCCCTGATGGTCGAGGGGGCCAGCTGATAGAGGGTCACGTGTGGGAGGCTTTCATGGATGTGTTGCATATCCCTTCCACTGCTGTTGCGCTGGCCAGGACTTAACTGTCACATACTTAACTGGAGGACGGGCTGGGATGTGTAGTTACCATGTGTCCAGAAGGAAGAAGATGGAATGTGCTTGGTGACCTGTTAGCTGGTCTTCGCCACATGTGGTAACGTCTACCTCAAATTTTAAAAATCTTATCGTTTATCATCGCCTTTGTTGCTGTCTTAGTTCATGCCACCTTCATCTCTCAACTGGGCTACTGCAAATCCTCCTTTCTAGTCTCTTGCTTTTGCTCTTCTCTTCCAGCCTCCACATAGTAGCCCCAGTCATTTTAGAATGTAACCCAGATTCTATCTCATCTGTGCTCAAACTCTAGTGGAGACACAGATGTAGAGAACAAACGTATGGACACCAAGGCGGGAAAGTGGCGGGGGGCTGGTGGGGTGGTGTGATGAATTGTGAGATTGGGATTGACATGTGTACGCTGATGGGTATAAAATGGATAACTAATAAGGACCTGCTGTATAAAAAAATAAAATAAAATTCAAAAATTAAAAAAAAAAAACACCTCTCTAGTCGGTGGCTTCCTATTACATTTAGAGTTAAAACCACACTCATTACTGTGGCCTATTCCCCTTCTCCCCTCCAACTCATTCCCAGGACCCAGTTGTTCTGGCCTTCTTGCCCGTTCTTTGAATGCTTCAAACATAATCCCTGCTTGGGCCTTTATGCTTGCTATGCCCTCTCTCTGGGTTTTCTTTTCCTAAATCTTCCTAAGGTTAGCTTATCATTTTTCTGTTTAAATGTTGTGGTTATCTACCACTGTGTAACAAACCACCCCAAAGTTTAGGAGCTTTCAACAACCATTTTATCATCTCTCATGAGTCTGTGGCTTATGGGGTTTGACTGAGCTCAGCTGGGTAGTTATTTTTTTCCACATGATGTTGGCAGGATCACCAAGTCAGTTACCAAGGGATTGGACTGGAACCACCTAGAAGGCTCACCCACATGGCTGGTCGTTGATGTAGGCTGCCAGCTGGGAGCTCAGTGTGCCCCTGCACGTGGTCTCTCCAGGTGACTTGGCATTCTCAAAGCGTGGTGGCTGAGTTCCAAGAGGGTGTCCCAAAAGCAGGTGTTCCAGAGTGATAAAGTAGAAGCCGCTGATCCTGGTATAGGTTAGGCCAGGCCCAGAACCAACACAGCATTACTTCTACCACAGTATTTTGGCTGGTCACGTGGCCAGCCCAGATTTAGGAGGAAAGGAAACAAACTCCATCTCTCAGTGCGGGAAATGATAGAGAATTTGAGGCCATGTTTCATCTCCTCAGAGGCCTTCTCTAAAATACCCAGCATTACCTAATCCATCTACACCATTGTCTTGTTTTATTTTCCTTATATGACTTATCACTATCTGAAATTTTTTTTTTGCCAATTCATTGTCATCCCCCACTAGAGTGTAAGTTTCTTAAAGAAGACCTGGCTGGTCTAGTTTCCTGGTAGCCCTGTCACTTAACAACAGTGCCCTGTATCCAGCAGGTATTTTGTAAACGTTGAATAAAAGAGTGCTGAACGTTCTCCCAAAACCTTATTCTCGTTCTGAATTTCCTTTTTAAGTTAGTGATAGCACCATTTTTATTGTTGGTAGACCTTAAAATCTTGGAGTCATGTCTGCCATCGTTCTCTTTCTTCTACGTGCTTTCAGTTGCTGAGGTCTATAGAATTAATCTTTAAAACATGTCCAATGGGTTCTTTCTGTTCTCATCCACATCACTCTTTCAGACCAACATCCTTTTTCTACTCAAGCCTCCTTGTTGAACTCTCTGAGTGTACATTTAATGCTAGTTTCATCTTCCCAAAATGTAGTTCCCATCACCCTTGAAAGCTATTGTTAGCCCGTGAAGTTAGTCATAAGCGTTTTCATTTTTGCAGTCATCTCAGCCACCTCTCCACCCCTGTGTTCCGCCATGTCCATCCTTGTGTTTCCAGTCTCCGAGGAGTACATTTTCCTCTCTGTCTCTGCCTCCCTCATCTCGTACTCTTAGAATGTTGCCCATACTTCAAAGTCCATTTCGCATGCCCATTCCTCCATGAACTCTTCCCAGTTTCTCCCAGTCAGATGTGCTTCTTCATCCTGTGAGCCCCTAAAACCCTTTGAATCCCTGCTGAGGCTTTGATCATTTGCATTTGCGGCTTAACAAACATTTGCTGAATGTCTTTCACTTGCCACTGGGCTGAGTGTTGGGCTTGGAGAGATGGAGGGGCAAGATGGAGAGGGCATTGGGAAGGTGAATTTAGACTTGAGTAAGATGTTACCTTCCCTGGAAAAGTTCACGTTACAGTGCAGTGGTTTTCTACCTTCCTTGTGTGATGGAACCTGGTGGGGAGCTTTAAAAATCCCAATGCCTGGGTCCCTCGCCTAGAGATTCTGATTCAGTTGGGTTGGGATGTGGCCAGAAGATTGGAGGATTAAGAAGCTTCCCAGGTGATTCTAATGCACAGCCAAGACTGAGAGCCGCGGTGCTAAGGGATGAGACTGACCAGTAAGTGGTTAATTTCAGTGTGTGATATGCTAGAAGAACAAACAGAGCACACCAGGAACACAAAAGAGTGTTTAGTTTAGCCTGGAGTTACTTTTATTCCTGCAGCTAGAGTGTAAGCCATTTATGGGCAGGGCCCAGGGCATTCTCATCTTGGAAATCCCTTACCTGATCCATATTCAGAGTAGGTATAAGAGAGGCTGTCTGACAGAACATTCTGCAGTGATGGAAGTATTCTGTATCTGCGCTGTCCAGTTTGGTAGCCACTAGCCGTATGTGTCAACTGAGCACTTGAAATGCAGCTAGTGAGAAGGAGGAACTGACTTTCAATGTAACTTAATTAATTTAAATTTCAGTAGCCACATGTGGCTAATGACTACTGTGTTGGACCCTTGAATAGAGGAAATACTGTGTTGAAATGATTTGAGGGTGTTTATGCAGAGGCTTAGATGAAGCAAGCTGTTTTCTCTGTTTGAGAGTTCAGTCACATCATTTGAATCTTAATTTTGCACCTTTTATATTTCCCATTTGTTAAAAAAAATGGGAGATGGGGAGGGTTTGGTTCAAATACCTGTTTTCTTTAAAACAGTTTTACTGAGAAATGATTCACATACTATACAATTCACCCTCTTAAATTGTACAATTCAGCAGTTTTTAGTATATTCACAGATATGTACAACCATTACCACAGTTAATTTTAGATCGTTTTTCATCACGATCTAAAACTTTCATCAGAGTTTTTCATGAAAAACTCTGTACCGGGGACTTCTCTGGTGGCAGCGTGGTTAAGAATTCGCCTGCCAATGCACGGGAAGTGGGTTCGAGCCCTGGTCTGAGAAGATCCCACATGCCACGGAGCAGCTAAGCGCGTGCGCCACAACTACTGAGGCTGTGCCCTAGAGCCCGCGAGCCACAACTGCTGAGCCTGCGTGCCACAGCTACTAAAGCCTGCACGCCTAGAGCCCGTGCTCCACAACAAGAGAAGCCACCACGATGAGAAGACCACACACCACAATGAAGAGTAGCCCCTGCTCGCCAAAACTTGAGAAAGCCCGCGCGCAGCAATGAAGATCCAATGTAGCCAAAAGTAAAATAAATAAATAAATAAAATTGAGAAAAAACCCCAAAAACGTCTGTACCGACTCACAGACATAGAGAACAGACTTGTGGTTGCCAAGGGGTGGGGCAGGGATGGATTAGGAGTTTGGGGTTAGCAGACACAAACTATTATTTATAGAACGGATAAATAACAAGGTCCTACTGTATAGCACAGGGAACCATATTCAGTATCCTGTGATAAACCATAATGGAAAAGAATATAAAAAGGAATGTATACATATGTATAACTGAGTCACTTTGCTGTACAGCAGAAACTAACACAACATTGTAAATCAAGTGTACTTCAATCAAAAAAAAGAAACCCTGTACCATTTAACTACCACCCCTCTGCCCCTTATTATATCCTCAAACGTATATACCTACCAATCTGCATAGATTTGCCTGTTCTGGACATTGTGTATCAATGGAATCGTATAATATATGGTTTTTGGTGACTGGTTATTTTCACATGGCATGATGTTTTCAAGATTCATCCATGTTGTAGCATGTATCAATACTTCATTCCTTTTTATGGCCTAATAATATTCCACTGTATGGTACTCATTCATCAGTTTAGGGACATTTGGGTTGTTTCTCCTTTTTGGCTATTGTGAATAATGAAACTATAAATGTTTGTGTACAAGTTTTTGTGTTGACGTATATTTTCATTTCTCTTGGAGATATACCTAGAAGTGGAATTGCTGAATCACTTAGAAAATCTTATGTATACTTTTTGTCTCAGTGAGAATGTGTGCATGTGTGTATGTGTTTTTATGCGAATACCACTTAACTGAATATTTTTATTTCAGTTATTATTAAGAAAGCATTATCTTAACACTAGAAGGAAGTGGATTGTTATTATTAAAACAGTTTCCTCCAAAAGTAATCATACTTCACTATATTAATTTTTGTAGCCTTCATGCAGGATGCTGTGTTCTGTGCTCTTTTGTGAATGTCTGTGGCTGATAACTGCTTATGCTCATGATGATGACTGGATTGACCCCACAGACATGCTTAACTATGATGCTGCTTCAGGAACAATGAGAAGATCTCAGGTATTTAAAAAATGCATGTGTGTATAACACCTTATCAGTCCAGTGATGGAAATAGTCTACTTTTGTTATTGTTTTTCACAGAGCTATGAGAGTCCCATATCAATGATTAGCAATCATGCAGAATGTCTTCTTGCTTCCTAGTCTAAGATGATTTCAACCTCATCTGTTTATTTCTGTTTCAAATTTGAATGTAAAGCCCATCGAGAAGCAAACTAATTTGATTTTAGTTCTTAGCTAGTGTATAAATTTGAGGCTCTTACTTTTTTGGTGGTTTAATACAGTTGAGGAATATAATGAGCAAAGCCATAAAATGATGAATTAAAAATTTTAGTCTCATTAACTGTAGGTTATTTTTACAACTGAACAACTATAAAGAAAGAAAATCTCTCTCCTTTGCTTTAGGTGAAGTATGGTACATCAAAGAAAGAAGAGGTCAGTCCTGACTTACCACATGCTGATGAACTGTCAGAATGTTACAGCAGACTTGATTCTTTAACTCATAAGGTTAGGTTTTTTGATTCATGATTTTTGTATTATTTATAGCATGTTAAATTGCTCTCTGTTTTCCTGTCTTTGCTAACATTATTTGTGTTTCTATCTAAACTACAATTGACATATGTATGGTTTTTTTTTCTTTAGTTACTCTGGCCTTTGATTTTTAAATAGTACTTCTATTTTGCTGTAACAGCATCTCACTATGCTGTAATTATTTCTTTACCAGACTGAAAATTTCTTGGGACAAGGAATGGGACAAGGTGATGCTCTGTCCCCTGTTGCAAGGCTGGGCTGTAGTAACAACAAATATAGCAAATGAAGAAATGGCTCTACTGTTAGTTTCTAAGCATAAGAGTTGCTCTTATAAATATAAGGGATTATTATAATTTAGGGCGTGGTAGCTATTCATTTATTCAGTCCTTTGTGTGGCTGAAGTAGAGTTTATGAGAGAGGAAGTAGGTCAAGATTGCTGGCGAGTTTGAACACAGGTTATGCTGCGGGAACCCACCTCAGTTGGTTGTGAGGCAGGGTGCTGGTGTCAGTGTGGAGGGGGCTGGGATGGGGGGGATGGCAGAGGTCCAGCGACACTGGAGGCTCACACTGAGGCAGTGACGGGGTGAAGAGAAGAGGAAAGCGTGCAACTTTTCCGTGGTAGAATAAGCAAGTTGTGATGGTTGAGGGAGGAGGGGAAAAGGATAGGGAAGGCTAGCGTGAATGAGGGAGGTTTCCAGCTTGAGAGACTGGGAGGGCTTTTTAATTGAGATCCAGATATATCCAAATTCGAGATCTATAAGCAGCTGCTTGTGGTTCTTATCAAATGTGAGTGTTTTCTCACCTGAGTGCTAGCAAAGAAATGCTTGGATAAAATTTGCTTCAGTCTTAACTGCATTTTGTGGTGTAGTGAATTAATTTGGCTGGATGTTAGGAAATGGAGAAATGCCTTTTTACTGAAATTTTTCATTCCATTGTTTGTGACTTTGGTTCAAACGTTGTAACAACATGATTGGTAAAATGAAGTCTTTAGTCTTTGTTTTTAAAAAATCGTTTCTCTTAAAAAATTGTTTCTCTTAAAAAGAAACTAAAAATTCTTAGGGTTTGTAAACCTTGCCTGAAAGCAGAGGAGACTGCCCTGTGACTTCTTGAGTGTCTTTCTGTCCTGAGTCTGTGTGTGCTCAGTTATTGTATGTTTATCATCTAAAGCCCACTTCAGTGCTCCATGCAACTTGTGGTCCACACTCAAGTAAAAAGTACTTTTCACAGGTTCTAAATGTCTGTAAGATGTGCACTACCCTCCCTCAGAGACTAGGCCATTGTGGTGTTTGTAGAGCTAATTTCAGAGGAAGTCTGTTCTAATGAAGGACTCTGTGCAGAGGGGGTGCCATGTGTAGGACACTCTGGAGAAGCCATGGTTCCTGACATATGGTAGGGGGTGATCGATAGTTGGCAGGAAGAATTAATAAAAGGCCAAAAGTAATATGCACATTCAAGAAAATCTTTGCTATGTCCTTCATTTTCCGGCTTCATGCTATTCCTGTTTCTCTTTGTCCTCTCTTTCTGGGTCCCCCCCCTTTTTCTTTTCATTCCTTTCTTTGTTAAACCATTACTTTGGAATTAGGAAGAGGCAGATTGGTCCAGATGTTCTTTTTTTTTTAAGACTTTATTTTATTATTATTTTTTTATTATTATTTTTTTTTGCGGTACGCAGGCCTCACTGTTGTGGCCTCTCCCGTTGCGGAGCACAGGCTCCGGATTCACAGGCTCAGCAGCCATGGCTCATGGGCCCAGCTGCTCCGCAGCATGTGGGATCTTCTCGGACCGGGGCATGAACGCGGGTCCCCTGCATCGGCAGGCGGACTCTCAACCACTGCACCACCAGGGAAGCCCCGGTCCAGATATTCTGCTTGTCCACATCTCTGCTTCCTTGTTTCACGATCTTCAGTTTTAAAATTGCCGAAAGTCAGCAAGAAAACTGCCAGTCAGGGCACAGTGTGGGACATGTGTTCCTTATTTGTTGCCTACTTCCCCTTTGCAAAGAGAACCCACAGGAAGCAGGTGAGATCTACATTTTAATGTGAGCATGATAAAAAATAACGAGCTCCTTACTTTGATCTGGATGGGGCCACTAGGCTAGAAACTTGACCCTTACTACATTAAATTTTGACGCTAACTAATGTTGTATTTATTTTGTGGTTACAGATCGATGAGTGTGAAAAGCAGAAGAGAAAAGACTATGAAAGTCAAAGCAATCCTGTTTTTAGGAGATACTTAAATAAGATTTTAATTGAAACCAGAAAGCTTGGCCTTGTGAGTATTTGGTGGTGTAATACTAATCAGTGTAGTGAATATTTTCATTATTTATTAATTTCACATTATATCAAGCAGTGGCAAAGCATCATTATGCTTCAACAGAGAATACCTGACTCACCCTTTTACCAAAACCTATTCATGCAGGATTGAAGGTAGCTGCCTGCTTTACAGTGGTTTGGTGGAAGGCAAAGTGAGCAGTGCAGATCCCTCCTCTTTTTCCTATACTTCATGGGGATTTACTTACTCAGTGCACTTTCCTACCACTGAATTGAGTTGGAGGGAGAGGGAGTTTTTTTGTTTTTTTTTAAAATTTTCACTGCACTGCACGGCATGTGGGATCTTAGTTCCTCAACCAGGGATTGAACACACGCCTCCCTGTATTGGAAGGTGAAGGGGAAGTCCAGAGGGAGATTGTTTTAAATTTGCTATTTGAACTTTATTGAACAGTTAGAAACTTAATAACTCATGCCTTGGTAAGGAAATTCTATCCCAGTCCTTACTTCTTGTTTTCTACCACTTCCACACTTTCTTATTCAGATGATGTGATATCATTATATATTGAGAAAAAGAAAAGTGTGTTTTAAGTAGTTTTTTCCCCCTAGCTGTTTACTGTGGCAAGGCTGCTTTATAGAAATTACATATCAGGCACATACTGTTCATGATTAATGTTAAGATTTCCATTTTTTACAGTCATTGTTTTCACTTTGAGGAGTTGAAACATCAAGAAAACTTAAAAAAAGGGGGTGTTACCAGCACCCAGCTTCACTCAACGACCAGCAAGCTACAGTGCTGGACAACCTATGCCAACCATATAGCAAGACAGGAACACAACCCTACCCACTAGCAGAGAGGCTGCCTAAAATCATAATAAGTCCACAGACACCCCAAAACACACCACCAGAGGTGGACCTGCCCACTAGAGAGACAAGATCTAGCCTCATACACCACAACACAGCCACTAGTCCCCTCCACCAGGAAGCCTACACAACCCACTGAACCAACCTTAGCCACTGGAGACAGACCTCAAAAACAATGGGAGCTATGAACTTGCAGCCTGCAAAAAGGTGAACCCAATCACAGTAAGATAAGCAAAATGAGAAGACAGAAAAACACACAGCAGATGAAGGAGCAAGATAAAAAGGCACCAGACCTAACAAATGAAGAGGAAATAGGCAGTCTACCTGAAAAAGAGTTCAGAATAATGATAGTAAAGATGATCCAAAATCTTGGAAATAGAATGGACAAAATGCAAGAAACAGTTAACAAGGACCTAGAAGAAATAAAGATGAAACAGACAATGATGAACAACACAATAAATGAAATGAAAAATACTCTAGATGGGATCAATAGCAGAATAAATGAGGCAGAAGAACGGATAAGTGACCTGGAAGATAAAATAGTGGAAATAACTACTGCAGAGCAGAATAAAGAAAAAAGAATGAAAAGAACTGAGGACAGTCTCAGAGACCTCTGGGACAACATTAAACGCACCAACATTCGAATTATAGGGGTTCCAGAAGAAGAAGAGAAAAAGAAAGGGACTGAGAAAATATTTGAAGAGATTATAGTTGAAAACTTCCCTAATATGGGAAAGGAAATAGTTAATCAAGTCCAGGAAGCACAGAGAGTCCCATACAGGATAAATTCAAGGAGAAATACGCCAAGACACATATTAATCAAACTGTCAAAAACTAAATACAAAGAAAGCATATTAAAAGCAGCAAGGGAAAAACAACAAATAACACACAAGGGAATCCCCATAAGGTTAACAGCTGATCTCTCAGCAGAAACTCTACAAGCCAGAAGGGAGTGGCAGGACATACTGAAAGTGATGAAGGAGAAAAACCTGCAACCAAGATTACTCTACCCAGCAAGGATCTCATTCAGATTTGATGGAGAAATTAAAACCTTTACAGACAAGCAAAAGCTGAGAGAGTTCAGCACCACCAAACCAGCTTTACAACAAATGCTAAAGGAACTTCTCTAGACAAAAACACAAGAGAAGGAAAAGTCCTATAATAACGAACCCAAAACAATTTAGAAAATGGGAATAGGAACATACATATCGATAATTACCTTAAATGTAAATGGACTAAATGCTCCCACCAAAAGACACAGATTGGCTGAATGGATACAAAAACAAGACCCATATATATGCTGTCTACAAGAGACCCACTTCAGACCTAGAGACACATACAGACTGAAAGTAAGGGGATGGAAAAAGATATTCCATGCAAATGGAAACCAAAAGAAAGCTGGAGTAGCAATTCTCATATCAGACAAAATAGACTTTAAAATAAGGACTATCAGAAGAGACAAAGAAGGACACTACATAATGATTAAGGGATCGATCCAAGAAGAAGATATAACAATTGTAAATACTTATGCCCCCAACATAGGAGCACCTCAATACATAAGGCAAATACTAACAACCATTGTGATTAAAAATCTTCCAACAAACAAAAGCCCAGGACCAGATGGCTTCACAGGCGAATTCTATCAAACATTTAGAGAAGAGCTAACACCTATTCTTCTCAAACTCTTCCAAAATATAGCAGAGGGAGGAACACTCCCAAACTCATTCTACGAGGCCACCATCACCTTGATACCAAAACCAGACAAGGATGTCACAAAGAAAGAAAACTACAGGCCAATATCACTGATGAACATAGATGCAAAAATCCTCAACAAAATACTAGCAAACAGAATCCAACAGCACATTAAAAGGATCATACACCATGATCAAGTGGGGTTTATTCCAGGAATGCAAGGATTCTTCAATATACGCAAATCTATCAATGTGATTAACCATATTAACAAATTGAAGGAGAAAAACCATATGATCATCTCAATAGATGCAGAGAAAGCTTTTGACAAAATTCAACACCCATTTATGATAAAAACCCTGCAGAAAGTAGGTGTAGAGGGAACTTTCCTCAATATAATAAAGGCCGTATATGACAAGCCCACAGCCAACATCATCCTCAATGGCGAAAAACTGAAAGCATTTCCACTAAGGTCAGGAACAAGACAAGGTTGCCCACTCTCACCACTCTTATTCAACATAGTTTTGGAAGTTTTAGCCACAGCAATCAGAGAAGAAAAGGAAATAAAAGGAATCCAAATCGGAAAAGAAGAAGTAAAGCTGTCACTGTTTGCAGATGACATGATACTATACATAGAGAATCCTAAAGATGCTACCAGAAAACTACTAGAGCTAATCAATGAATTTGGTAAAGTAGCAGGATACAAAATTAATGCACAGAAATCTCTGGCATTCCTATATACTAATGATGAAAAATCTGAAAGTGAAATCAAGAAAACACTCCCATTTACCATTGCAACAAAAAGAATAAAATATCTAGGAATAAACCTACCTAAGGAGACAAAAGACCTGTATGCAGAAAATTATAAGACACTGATGAAAGAAATTAAAGATGATACAAACAGATGGAGAGATATACCATGTTCTTGGATTGGAAGAATCAACATTGTGAAAATGACTCTACTTCCCAAAGCAATCTATAGATTCAATGCAATCCCTATCAAACTACCACTGGCATTTTTCACAGAACTAGAACAAAAAATTTCACAATTTGTATGGAAACACAAAAGACCCCGAATAGCCAAAGCAATCTTGAGAACAAAAAATGGAGCTGGAGGAATCAGGCTGCCTGACTTCAGACTATACTACAAAGCTACAGTAATCAAGACAGTATGGTACTGGCACAAAAACAGAAAGATAGATCAATGGAATAGGATAGAAAGCCCAGAGATAAACCCATGCACATATGGTCACCTTATCTTTGATAAAGGTGGCAGGAATATACAGTGGAGAAAGGACAGCCTCTTCAATAAGTGGTGCTGGGAAAATTGGATAGGTACATGTAAAAGTATGAGATTAGATCACTCCCTAACACCATACACAAAAATAAGCTCAAAATGGATTAAAGACCTAAATGTAAGGCCAGAAACTATCAAACTCTTAGAGGAAAACATAGGCAGAACACTCTATGACATAAATCACAGCAAGATCCTTCTTGACCCATCTCCTAGAGTAATGGAGATAAAAACAAAAATAAACAAATGGGACCTAATGAAACTTCAAAGCTTTTGCACAGCAAAGGAAACCATAAACAAGACCAAAAGACAGCCCTCAGAATGGGAGAAAATATTTGCAAATGAATCAACTGACAAAGGATTAATCTCTAAAATTTACAGGCAGCTCATGCAGCTCAATAACAAAAAAATAAACAACCCAATCCAAAAATGGGCAGAAGACCTAAATAGACATTTCTCCAAAGAAGATATACAGACTGCCAACAAACACATGAAAGAATGCTCAACATCATTAATCATTAGAGAAATGCAAATCAAAACTACAATGAGATATCATCTCACACCAGTCAGAATGGCCATCATCAAAAAATCTAGAAACAATAAATGCTGGAGAGGGTGTGGAGAAAAGGGAACACTCTTGCACTGCTGGTGGGAATGTGAATTGGTTCAGCCACTATGGAGAACAGTATGGAGGTTCCTTAAAAAACTACAAATAGAACTACCATATGACCCAGCAATCCCACTACTGGGTATATACCCTGAGAAAACCAAAATTCAAAAAGAGTCATGTACCAAAATGTTCATTGCAGCTCTATTTACAATAGCCCGGAGATGGAAACAACCTAAGTGCCCATCATCGGATGAATGGATAAAGAAGATGTGGCACATATATACAGTGGAATATTACTCAGCCATAAAAAGAAACGAAATTGAGCTATTTGTAATGAGGTGGATAGACCTAGAGTCTGTCATACAGAGTGAAGTAAGTCAGAAAGAGAAGGATAAATACCGTATGTTAACACATATATATGGAATTTAAGAAAAAAAAATGTTGTGAAGAACCTAGGGGTAAAACAGGAATAAAGACACAGACCTACTGGAGAACAGACTTGAGGATATGGGGAGGGGGAAGGGTGAGCTGTGATAGGGCGAGAGCGAGACATGGACATATATATACTAACAAACGTAAGGTAGATAGCCAGTGGGAAGCAGCCGCATGGCACCGGGAAACCGGTTCGGTTCTTTGTGGCTGTCTGGAGGGGTGGGATAGGGAGGGTAGGAGGGAGGGAGACAAAGAGGGAAGAGATATGGGAACATATGTATATGTATAACTGATTCACTCTGTTATAAAGCAGAAACTAACACACCATTGTAAAGCAATTATACCACAATAAAGATGTTAAAAAAAAAAAAGGTGGTGTTAGATGAATAGTAATCCCACCTTATTTTGGAGATGTAAAAGCAGATGTACTCACATGTACACCCTTCATTTTGAGTCTTATAACTGAGTGGTGGTGTTAGATGAATAGTAATCCCACCTTATTTTGGAGATGTAAAAGCAGATGTACTCACATGTACACCCTTCATTTTGAGTCTTATAACTGAGTGCAAGGTGGAAAAGAGTCTATTTTATAGATGAGGAAACAGAGTCAGAAAATACTCAAGATGGAGATGCTTGGAATATTTCGTTCCTGGTTTTCTAGAAATATTAATGGCCGCTTTTTTATACTTACTGATGATTTGTGATATTACATGACAGTTTGGTTTTTCTCATTTTATATTTACTTTTTAATATAAATATCAGTATTTACTATTAGAAAAGATAATGTTTATAATGATTTTGCTAACCTGAACTCTCAGTAATATAGTTGTGACTGTCATGCATATTTATGGAAACCCAGATTTTGCTGCTTTTTGAGATCCTTTTTGTTTTTCTTATTTGTACTACTGCAGATTTTAGGCTATTTGAAAACTGTGTCAGCAAATGGAAAGTCATAAACGAAATCATAAAATCATGATAGTTTATCCTCATTATTTGTGGATTCCATATTTTTGAATATTTCAAATATTAAACTTTATTTGTAACCTCAGAATCAGTACTCCTGCTTTTGTGGTCACTTTCAGACATGTGCGGTGCGACAAAACATTTGAGTTGCTCACTGAGCCCACTCTCAGCTGAGGTGAAACAAGGCCATTTTTTGCCTTCTTGTTTTCAGCTCTCATGTTATAAACAAGTACTTTTATGTGGTCTGTTTATTTTTTCGGGCTTTCATTTTTTAATTTTTAAAATTTTGCTGTTTAAAAATCTCCCAGGCTTCCCTGGTGGTGCAGTGGTTGAGAGTCTGCCTGCTGATGCAGGGGACGTGGGTTCGTGCCCCGGTCTGGGAACATCCCACATGCTGTGGAGCGGCTGGGCCCTTGAGCCATGGCCGGTGAGCCTGCGCGTCTGGAGCCTGTGCTCCGCAACGGGAGAGGCCACAACAGGGAGAGGCCCGCGTACCGCAAAAAAAATCTCCCAAGTGTTATGCTGTCTAGTGTTCCTAAGCACAGGAAGGCTGAGATGTGCCTTAAAGAAAATTCCCTTGTTAGTTAAGCTTAGTTCAGTCACGAGTCATAGTGCTGTTGGCTATGAGCTCAGTGTTAATGGATCCACAGTATATATATTAAGGTGTCTTTATTTTTAAAAATTTCTTTCTTTCCTTTTTTTTCTTCAATATTTATTTATTTAGGCTGCGCTGGGTCTTAGTTGTGGCATGCGGGATGGTTTTTTTTTTTTTAGTTGCAGCACACGGGCTTCTTAAGTTGCGGCATGCATGTGGGATCTAGTTCCCAGACCAGGGATTGAACCTGGGCCCCCTGCATTGGGAGCGTGGAGTCTTACCCACTGGACCAGCAGGGAGGTCCCCATATTAAGGTGTCTTTAAACAGTAACATAAAAAGGTTATGAATTGATTGGTTGATGAAAATGTGCTTGCAGGAACCTAACCCTGTATTTCCTGTAGGAGCCATGGTTCAGTATTTGCTAACTAGTGTTCAGGGTGACTTTATAGAATGTAAGTACTGCAGATAGCAGAAATCAACTGTAATTTAGTAAAATGTACTGTATGTTACTTGCATAGAGTTTTATAATTTTTGAAGTGTTTTTCACGTGTATTATCTTTGGTTTTCATGTTGGCCTGTGAGTCAGGTAGATATTATTCCTCTTATTTTATCCCTGTGAAATATTGTGAACTAATTATATATTTAGTTCCAAATTAGCTTTTGTCTTAAAATATTTCATTGAGTAAATATAATGATAAAATTCCCCTTTTCTGTTTTATTTTTATTTTTTGGCAAATTTAATTCAGCCTGATGAAAACAAAGGTGATATGCATTATGATGCTGAGATTATCCTTAAAAGACAAACCTTGTTAGAAATACAAAAGTTTCTCAGTGGAGAGGATTGGAAACCAGGAGCCTTGGATGATGCACTAAGTGATATTTTAATTAATTTTAAGTTTCATAATTTTGAAACATGGAAGTGGCAATTTGAAGATTTCTTTGGAGTGGATCCATATAACGTATTGATGGTAAGATGGGATGAGGGGGGACATGATTAACATGTTTTTATTTTTAACATGTTTTTATTTTTTAAAACACTTAAAAAACCCCACCATAATTATGTTGAGAACTCATACTAAGTCACTCATACTGGGTTGACGAACATGCAGCAAAATGGTACAAATGATTTTGCGTATTCAAGTCCAGTTCTTTTGTTTTTGCTGACGATCAGTGTTGTTTTTGGGAAGGATGGCTTGGCGGTGACTCTTCTATTCTGTTTCTGTTTTTGAGATGCTTCTTTGTCTGCTCTGCATCGTGGTGTTAGTAGCTACTGAGCTGTGGACATGTGTGCGTTGGTACACCCAGTTGAGACGTGTTTTATTCATCAGTTTTCTCATCAGTTTGGGATGGAATTGGATTTATTTATATAAGGTATTGTATAGATAGAAGGTTTTTAAGTTTTCAAATGTTATTTCATAATGAAAGACTGTAATCCATTTAGAGCTAGTATATAATCTTGCCTCAGATGAGGGCAGGAGGCAGTGATTGGAGATGGTGATGGTGAGGAAATTGGCAGCTGCTCAGTGCTTTGGGTCCTTGACCAGTTAGTGGGGAAAAATGTGCAGTCCTGATTTTCATAACCCAATTCCTGATGATGGGTGGCATCTGGACAGCTAAATCAGAATAGAGTTATGTAGACAACACTTGAAAAATTCTCATGTAGGTAATTTGGGGTATGTCTTTTTATTTGCTAGAAGTGATACCAAAATATTGTTTTTTAAAATTAGTTGATTTTCTGAATATAAAAGTGGTATATTTATGGTAGAGAAAATAGGAAAGAAAGATACAGAGAAATTTAATTCTTAAAAATTGTCTAGGGAATTTTCTGGCAGTCCAGTGGTTAGAACTCGGCACTCTCACTGCCGGGGGCCAGGGTTCGATCCCTGGTTGGGGAACTAAGATCCCGCAAGCTGCGTGCAGTGGCGAAAAAATAAAATTGTCTATAATTTTACCACCTAGAGATAATCACTGTCGGTATTTTGAGGTATTTCTTTATAAACTTTTTCCAAATTTTTAATTCTTTAAAAATCAGGACCATGTTATATATAGAAATTTGAAGAAGCATTATTGTTCCTGTCAAAATAGCATAATCATTTAAGGAAAATTTTAGATCTTTTTAGCAGGGTGAGTCAAGTAGCCAACTATTTTCAGTGAATTCATCTGATTAAATCATTGTGATATTTCCTTAGCTCTAAGTTCTGTAGCTTCTAGAACTAAGTATTTACAAATTGGAGGAAAGAAGGTAGTTTGGTTGAAAATTGTTCTCTCAATGATTTCCCCCAGGGCTTTTATTTATAAAAGGCCTATTGGTCATTTGTACTAAAAATCATCCAAAGCAAAACACCATTTTGTCATGAATTGTATAAGAGAATGAGTAGTCGTTTAATATGTATAGCTATAATTGGGGGCATGATATCAGCTATATTTGAACTAATCTTTAAAACAATCTTTAGTAAAAAGGTTTTCCTTCCTCCTCATAATTACTTTATAAAGAAGGCAATTGTAGTTAGTTCTTTACCTGTTGCATTAAGACTGTTTTGCCATGAACTGAAAAGAGGCACTTTTTAAAAATAATATATTTTTTTCTGTGAAAAAATTTTAAATACTCTGGTTTGGGTGAATGGTGAAGACACACTTTGAACTAAGGTTTTTAGGATGTGTAGACGTAACCTTCATTGTTAGCAGCCTTTCATGGTTCCCTTTGGTGTTGGTCAGCTAGCCTTTGCCCAGCATCAGGCTGAAGTTGCCAAGATGGAGCCATTAAACAATGTGTGTGCTGAGAACATGGATTGGACTGGAAGTCTCTTGGGTAAGGTGTTGGTTCCCTTGGCCTTATTTTGAGTAGAATTTCTGAGAATGAAAAAACATATTAATAATTACAAAGAAATGATAAAATGCCAGAAGGAGGCTTTCTATGACTGAATCTTTAGTATCAGAACAGGCAAGAAGAGTCTTAGATTTCAGACCGGTGACTTTTGTGTTCATGTAATGTGACAGGAAAGGGATAGAAAGTGTGTATATTGCTGGCTCTTATATAATCTGTCTCCCTGCATTAGACTCACTTTTGTTCATCTAGTCCTTAGCACTGTCTAGCACATTCTGGGTCCTCAGCAGAAGTTTATTAGAGAAGTGAATCAATGTATTTATGAATTCATTTCCATCTTTGATTTAATATCCTTATATTGACGTGTGAAATCTTATTGTAGCTTTACTATACTGTTTTTTTTTAAATTAGGAATTATTTTACTTTTTCTTACAAATTTTATGAACATTCTCACTAATGTTGACTGCCTTCAGTTATAGGTATCTAGCAGTGGGAATGGTTTGATAATCAAAGTCTCTTTATAAATGCAAGTCTATAATGACTGACCCAGAATAGAATCTCAGCAACAAATCAAGGTGTCCAAAAAATTAATTTTCTTGAACAGATATGGGAGCCAAACCAGCCCAGCCTTGCTTCCTGGCTTCAGGGAACAACTAAATGCCTCCTGTAGCTCTTGCTAGTACATAATGTACATGAGTCTGATTTAGAAAAAGTGAGAGAACTAATGTTCTACTTTATTTTGTAAAATAAGTAAAGAACTGACATTTTTTTTTTTTTTTTTTTTTTTTTTTTTTTTTTTTTTCTTGCGTTATGCGGGCCTCTCACTGTTGTGGCCTCTCCCGTTGCGGAGCACAGGCTCCGGACGCGCAGGCTCAGTGGCCATGGCTCACGGGCCCAGCCGCTCCGCGGCCTGTGGGATCTTCCCGAAACGGGGCACGAACCCGCGTCTCCTGCATCGGCAGGCGGACTCTCAAGCACTGCGCCACCAGGGAAGCCCAAGAACTGACATTTTTAATTGAAATTTTTTGGACATAGTTGTAGATTCACAGGTAGCTGTAAGAATACAGAGAGATCCTGTGTACCTTTACCCACTTCCCCCACTGGTAACATCTTGCATACTTACAGTAGTGCAGTATCACAGCCAGGATATTGACTTTGATACAAGCCACCAATCTTACTCAGATTTCCCCAGTTTTACTTGGATTCCTTTGTGTGTGTAAAGAACTGTTTTTAATTGTTTACTTTTTAGAAATCTTAATAAAATATATTTTACCTGTATAAGACTTGTATAATTTGAATGGATTTTTAAAATAAACATTTTGGACATAAGATGAAATTTTTTAAAATCACTGTTACTGGGAGTCTGTTTGCAAAACAATTTAAAATTGATTGGGGGTTGTGGGGAGAGGAACAGTTAAAACTAAAATATTGTCTTATTTGGGAATGAAATGTGACTTTTTAAAAAAATGACTGTTTTTGTCTGTTTCTCTAAATAGAATGGCTTAGAAGTTCATGGACCTATAAGGATGACTCATGCCAAAAATACTACGAGCTCTTATTAGTCAACCCTATTTGGTTGGTCCCACCAACAAAGGTTAGAATATATTTTGTGAAAATTACTTATACAAAGCAAGTAAAAAGTCTCTGTATTTATTAAAAATTGTTAGTGTTTTTTACCATCATTTTGCTAATGATAAACCTTTGTTCTAGAAAAAAATACTTCCATTACACAGTGATTTTCACATGAAAAGTATATAACATTTAAATGTATGGAATTTCATAATTTCAGCCTCAGTACAGTCGATTTTGGCTTATTCTATATGCCTCAATTCTTTGAGGAAAAAAATTAAGTTGTTTTTATCTTTTGTTGTAGGCACTGGCAGTTACATTCACCAACTTTGTCACGGAGCCATTGAAGCATATTGGAAAAGGAGTTGGTGAATTTATTAAAGCACTCATGAAGGAGATCCCAGTGTTACTACACATTCCAGTGCTGATAATTATGGCATTAGCTGTCCTGGTTAGTATATAGCACTGTTAACAATTAACAGGATTTACAGAAAAAGGCAATTCTGAAATTACTAGGTTTTCTTTTATGTTGTAAATCAGGCTAAGTCGTGCTTAATGGCATGAAAAGATGATTTTTAAGTGATAAATGTTTGTTTATACTTACTTGTACATTCCTCTAAGCAAGAAAACGGTTCTCAAGTTTGATTGTAGATGTCAAAGCGGTGATTTAGAATAATACCCTCTTTGAACATTTGTCCTTTAAACTTCATGAATTAATACACATGATATCAGTTATGTTCTCTTTGAGAAATGGGACCTTATTTCAGTCTGAATTTTTGCCACACTGAGAACAGAAGAACAATGGGTTTAACATAGCATCAGAAAGGGATGTAGAAAGAGGTGGGTGTACTAAGAAACAATTTGGGGGATCCAGGAGCAGACATTTATTAAGGAATATTACAATATTACTTGTCAGTCATCCATGGTCTCTTCAGCTCTTTTTTTGGTTGATTTTCAGCACTTACCCTAATAAAGCAGTTGTCTCATAAAACAAAATGCAAAGAACTCAGATGTGCCAGGGGAAATTATTAAAGAATTGTCTTCCCTTAAGGATACAAAATTCACTATGATCTATTTACTTAAAAATTATTCTTGTTTTGTGTTTTGGCTTGTGATTAGGATTCATTGGTTTAGGGATATGGTTTTGTTAGGTGACATTAGTTGTGTAGTAGTAGTTTAGTCTCTAAGACTGAAATTACAAGCAAAACCCCTTCATCGCTTGTTGCTTCATCTGCTGCCTAAGAAAAGGCCTTTTGTTGCTCTGTCTTCAAAGAGTAGTATCTCTAGTACAGTGGTTTTCAAACTTTTTGTTCTCAGGACCCTTCTGTATTCTTCAGAATTGAACACCACAAAGAGCACTTGTTTGTGGGAGGTTTATTTATTGATATTTACCAGAAATGTTTAAAATACAAGTATACACAAGCACACAGTGCATGAGCCATCAGAGTGAGGCAGTCACTGTAGCCCCGCAAGACTCTGCTGTACAAGAAGAGAGTGTAGAAGACTAATGTCTTTGTATTATGAAAACTTTTGACCTCACAGATTCCTGAGAGTCTCAGAGATCCCCTGAGGGGTCCCTGGGCCACACTTTGAGAACTGCTGCCTAGTTTTTCCCTTGGAGTGTGACTCAAAACCTGTTGAATTTTAGCTGTAGCTAAAGCGAGTTTGTAAAAATTAAACCTACAGGAGAATATTTACATAATGGTGTACAACTTTAATTTTCAGCATTTACCTTATATGATGCGTGTAAATGTAGACAACACATGAGCAGTGATCAGACAATACCTTTTAAATTTCTAGGCTTTAGCCTAACTGCTGTTACAATTCAATAAAAATGTGTCCAGCTGATTGAAATGTCTGCTTAATACTTGGTGATTTCTCAAATTTTATTGGCTACTCTGGCCCTGTATTAATCTGGAGAAAGCCCAATGAAATTAAGATGTTTATGTCTATAAATGCCACAAGTTAGGAAATTTTGTTGGCACCGTGGAAAGCACCTCAAAATTTCATTGTAAATCAGCCATTAAGTACTCAGGAATATGTATTTCTTTTCCTTCTAGAGTTTCTGCTATGGTGCTGGAAAATCAGTTAATATGCTGAGACATGTGGGTGGCCCTGAAAGAGAACCACCCCAGGCACTTCAGCCAGGTGAAAGAAGATGGCAGCAGGAAATTGATTATAGACCCCGTGGTGGAGCAGGTGATGCAGATTTCTATTATAGGGGCCAAATTGGCCCCATTGAGCAAGGCCCTAATGACAAAATATGTGAGGGTAGAAGAGATGTTTTGAGAGAGAGAGATGTTGACTTGAGATTTCAGACTGGCAACAAGAGCCTTGAAGTGCTTCCGGCATTTGATTTACCAGACGCAGAGGCGAGAGAGCATCCCAAGGTGGTACCCAGTGTAAGTCAGCAACTGTTTATTTCGCTGTCCCTTCATACTAGGTGTAAGTGCTTCCTATAGTGCTTTTGGTTAAGTGCTTTTACTTTTCATGGTTAATTATATCACCAGTGATAATAATTATTCACTCTCCCCCTTTCTGGTTGAAAGTCCAGCCTCCTCAGAAGAAATGAGATTTAATTTTTATGTTAAATAGTATTTAACAGTAATTTGTTGGAACAGATGGTAATTCATAATGACATTTCATAGGAAACCAACAAGTGAGCATGACTGAAATTTCCACCTTTGAAGAGATCAGAGAGAAGTCCTCACTGAAGGCCTGGAGCCTTAGGGAGCCAACCCGCAGGAGAGCCCTGAAGCCTTAGGTAGATGGAAGAGTGAGCTGGGAAAGGACCAAAAACCTCGCTTTCCCAAATCTTTTATATCGTTGGCTGGCTAGACTACACTTTTTACCTGTGGAATGGTGAGGCCTCTTTTCCACCATTATTGGCCATTTAAAGGGACATTTCCATTTCTGTTTGAGAGAGGACTTTGTATTGTCATTTGGAAAGTTTAGGTTGCAGACGCAAACCTTTGAGAAATAGTAGGAAGCGCAGTAGAATCTAGGAAATTGTAGAATCCCTTCCCACGGAGTTCCTTAGAAGAAACATATCTGCCTGTGTCTAGAAAATTAAGATGTTCCTTTCAGCTTTAATAGTTAATGGTTATCTGTCACTCATCTCAAAAATCCTCCAGTGAGGTCCGGGCTCACTTGAAGGGAAAGCCAAAGATATCAAGATGGCCTAGGGCTTCCCACCTCCATTACCACGCTGCTCTCTCCTCCTGCGCCCCCTCCACCCTCATTCTCCTTCAGCCACAAGGGCCTCCTGCCTATTCCTTGAACTCAAGCCTTTGTACTTGCTGTTCACTATCTAGAATGCTGTTCCCAGTATATTCATAAGGTTCATTTCTTCAAGCCTTTGCTCATGTCATCTTTTCAGACTGCCCTAATTTAAACAGCTATCCAACCCTCACACCCACAGCATGATACTTTGTTAATTTATTGCCTGATTCTCTCCCCAACTTAAATGTAAATTCCAGGGAGGGCAGGGGTTTTTGTCTGTTTATTGTCTTGTATCCCCAGCACCTCGAACTTAATGTATGCTCAGTAAATATTTGTTGAATGAATTATTCTCCCTAGCAAGAGGAGTTAGCAGTACTGGTCACCAGTCTTCCTGTCCCTTCCTTAAGCTGCATCACTAAACCACCTGGCATATCCTGAGTTTCCCATTCCTCCATGTACAGTTCTGTGAGGCTTAATAACATTTATATAATTACAATCCAGCACTGGAACCAGGACTTGAAAGAGTTCAACATTTGCTATAACAGATTTGTGTGGGAACTTGTTGAACATGTTTATTACAAACCTTCACATTATGTTAATTAAACAATTAAAACACTGTAATTCTCTACTTTGTAGCATAAATCACCTATTTTGGATACAAAGCCCAGAGAAATTGGTGGAATCTCAGGAGAAAGCACACTGACTGAAAGCAGCCAGTCTGCTAAGCCTGTCTCTGGCCAAAAGATACCAGAGAGTGTGGAAGGTTCCCCTGCAGTGGAAAAGGCCCAGCTCAGGACTGACGCCACAGGCGGCCCAGAGGAAGGCAGCACGTCCAGCCCAGCACTGCAGTGAGGGTGTGTGGAAGGGATCCAGACTGCAGCCCATGTGGCTAGAGGAACACAGACATGGACCACAGCTCTGAGGTCATCTTTGAGTTTTGTAAAGTATACTCTTCACAGCTATTTCTTCTTCTCTACAAATATTCTGTTATTTTCTACACAGGTGCCAACTTAAACAGTATTTTTACTGACAAGCGCACATGTATCTCTGTTTAATTTCATCTTTCTTTGATATTAAGATGCATCCTATAAAGTTTTGAAGTGTTAATTCTGGAACAGGATCTCATAGATGACATATGGCAAGCATTAATGATTTTGAATAATCAAAGAGGCCAGTTTGAATTAGGGGACATTGAAAAAGGAGTTCTGTTGTTTACAGGCATATATAGGAACCAACTTACCAAAGTGTGTTGCCTCGTGGAAGTCCTGTGATACCTACTTTAGTTAACAGAATTATTTGTTGTGCACTGGACTCAGAATATATCAAGTGGTAGGTACTCAAAAACAACATTTAAGGAAAGTGACTGTAGTCATGCTTACCCTCTTCATTCACTTCAGCATTTTAGTGCAGCCACAGAGCCTGCATCACCAGCGTCAGTCTGCCTCGTGTAGGCTGCCTGCAGATCAGCCTTCATCTCTCAACTCTTACCACTATTACTGGGCCTGCTTCCTTATCACCCCTTTTACTTTATCCTTAGCTAAGACAGAAATGAAGATTGTCAGGGGAATTTAGATTACATAGCTTGTTAAGTCAGTAATCTCAGTTTTACATCCTTTGAGAATGGCTTTATTTCCCCAGCAGATGAAGTACACAGGCTTTATAAAACGTGTTTTCCTTGCTACTCAGAATCCCAGCAGTGGTGATTGTTAGATATTACTATATCTTATTTATATTACAGTAAACCATATTGCCCAAGCCATATGAAGTTCTAATTTTTAGAGATCTATACAAAGAGAGGAATAAATACCACAATAAGGAAAACAGAGTAGGATTTTTTTTTTTAACCCTAGACAGGTGATATAATCAACATTTCAAATTAGTTATTCTGATTTTTAAACTATTCTTCATTTTAAACTTTCTAAAATAGGAATTTATAAATTTTGCACAAGATCTAACTAGGAAGCACATATATTACACATATTCAGGTATCCTTTATCTTAACCTTCACACTATAATTTATATTCAGCTGCTTACTAAAAATGATAGCAGTCAGGAATAGTCTTAAAATTTTCATGCAGGCATTTCTTTCAGAAAAAAAGATGTATTTAAAGCATTTGCGGAGCACAGGCTCCGGACGCGCAGGCTCAGCGGCCATGGCTCATGGGCCCAGCCACTCTGCGGCATGTGGGATCTTCCTGGACCGGGGCACAAACCCATGTCCCCTGCATCGGCAGGCGGACTCTCAACTACTGCGCCACCAGGGAAGCCCAGCATTTGCTTTTTGATATGTTTTTTACGTGAAATGCAGAAATACCCCTTTTTGGCTCCCAGAAGCATCACTTAGATGCCTGTAACAATTTATGTGTTAATATTATTTTCTAGCTTCGTACTGCAAACATTAGTATTTCATCAGAAAGGTAATTTTCTCCAAGAAATGCAAAAGGATTTTATATAAAACTTTATAACATAGTAGGCATGTAGTGATGCTGGCAGTTTGGGATAGATTTGTGAATACTGATGAATATAAAGTAGTCATCTGGGGGCTAGGCCTGTTCACACTGATTGTATGCTCCGAAGGTGCTAATTATCCTCTGAGCTGTGAAATGAATGCCTCAGTTGATAGACTGTAACTGTGAGAGTACAGTTAATGTTGTTTTGCACTTCTGACTGCTTTTTATCTATCCAAAAATGAATCTTTAAAAGAAAATTTAAGAAAAAGTTCACCTTTGTATTCTTTCATTACAGATAACCATTTGGGGGTGAAATCTACTTTGACATCAGGGCAGCAAGGTACTGCTGTTGAAAGGTGACAGCAATTCAGGGAAGACTTATTAAAGCAAATTGAATATATCAAGGCCAGTTTATAACTAGAAGAAACAGACTTGTTTATTGTCTAGCCAATATTTATCATTAAAATCAAGGATTATAGTAACGAGCTTTTAGGAAAATCAGAGTGGGGCAGATAGCTTTTCAAAAGCAGTTTTTAAGTGGAATGGATAACGCTGAATGTTTACAGGGCCTGAGAACTACCATATACACAAAATAAACACTTATTTTTACATTATTGTGGTTTGGTATACTTGTCTTTGCTCAGTAAATATGCTTGTAAGAAAAAGCCCAATGGAATTTAAGTGCAGGTTTTAAAAGGATGCTAATCCAGGACATTATACCCTATATATGATACATAAAACATAATATAATCCAGGTGTTAGTACTTTTGACAAAATTTGTGTCTGATCTCAGAACCAGGAGTAATCTTTTTTTTTTCCTTCTGAGCCCTTAATGTGAGTCCAGATTGTGTAACTATCTTTCTTCTCATTTTTTAAAACATTAGCTATTGGTAGAAGTGCTTTTCACTGCCCATAAAAATCACCTGGAGGATTTTTAGAAAGAACAAAGGCCCAGATCCCTAGATCCCATCCCAGCTGTGTAGAATCAGAAGCAACCAGAGGTGAATGAGTTGCCAACTTGTTCCAGGCGTGGGCATTTGTATTATGCAATTCAGCCTTAGTCCAGGCCCAGCTCTGTCCCATCCCTGTTGATTTGCTTTTGCTAAACTTATGTCATGTTGCATTATGTCCCCTTGTAAAACCTCCTTCAGTTTCTGGGAAGAGGCTTAATGACAACTGAGGGCTTAACCTACGTCTTTCGTACTTAATTTTTGTGACCTACGTTCTTGACAGAGTCACATGAGGGTTTTGGATTTTCTGACATTAGGTCCTAAAAAGTTTTACAACAGTATTTTGCAACAGAACATACAGTTTTAAACCATTTTATATATACACACACACACACACACACAAAATGTACATATATACATATCTGTACTTATATATGTAAATATATAAAAATCAGTTATTTAAAAAATTACACAGAGGCCAAAGCATGCTAAAGAAGTTTATTTTTAAGAGTTTCTTTTATAATGGTTTTGGCCTAAAATTATATTGAAAATAGCGATTTTCTTAGTGGAAAAAAATCTAGATATTTTTTAATAGACTGTATAATTTTTTACACATTGGTCAAGTATATTATTTTTATGAAATAGCATACTTTCCTACTACATCGGTATAAAAAAGAGCCATTGTCAATTAAAAGTAAAAAAAAAAAAAAAAAAAATCTACCTCAGCAAGAGGATTAAATCCTAGGCTAGATTCATTTAACTTGCTACTTTACAAATACTAGGTAAAGGAATCTAACAAGTTGCGGAAGAACATAATCCCAAGCAGTAATCACAAAAGTTGATGAAGCACCTTTTAAGACACCTCTACCCTGAAACAAATGTCCAGAGGAATGTTAATACTATGCTATCAAAGGTTAAATATTTACATCATGCTAAAAACATTTTTAAGCTCAGTACAGTGCTATAATTTCTCCTTTGAAGGAAAAAAGTAATAGATTGAATTTTCCTGCAGTGTTCTGAAAGGAAATAAGGTCGCTTTAAAAAAGATATTCATTGTATACTAGTGGTTTGCTTATTTTTTTCCTGAATTTTCAAGTTCCAACAGAGCATTACTCTGCAAAAGGTCCTTCGGTCCAAATTCAGTGTCTCTGTTTTGATCTCTTTGTAAAAGAACTCTCTGTTCATCCATTCTTTTTGCTTGAGACCGTAAAATAAGGCTAAAAAAGTCTTCATCTGGTACTGTTGGTCCCTTTGTGGCAGCAGGTGGTGGAGCGCATCTTTGATCATCTAATCTGGATCCCTAAAAATTTACAAGAAAGAGATTAAAATACAAACACTGCAGGAAAGGAGAGCACCAAGGTATGTTACGTCTGTCATTCACAATAAGAAAATGTAGCTTTAAACATTTTCTGCCTCTTAGAAGTTTACTCAATCTTTAGACCTGAAACCTAGTAAGATCTTTTATTTGAAATGACTTATATAATCAGAGCATAACAAGTATTGTGTATAACAAATATGAAGCCATAGCTTCATGGCTTTGGTAAGATTAGTTAAGATGCAAGGTCACCTATGTCTAAGATTATAATCTTACTGTAATAGGCATCACCAAATACAACATACCAAATCCTTAGGAATATCATGTGAGGTACAAAAACCCTACATCACTACCTTATAAATACTGTCTTCGGCCAAGGGTCAGCAAACTATAACCCACTGCCCACTGTTTTTTTAAACAGTACTTTCATTTCAATACCACGCTTGTTTGTTTATGAACTGTGTATGGCTGTTTGCCTGCTACAAGGGCAGAGTAGAGCAGTTGCAACAAAGGCCATAGGGCCCCGAAAAGCCTAAAATATTTTCTCTGGCCCTTTACGGAAGAAGTTTGCCTACCCTTGTCTCAGGCAATAAAATCTGTTAAGGAAATAAATAACCCAGAGTGAATTTTTCCTTCAAGTTCTGATTTACAACTCTTATTTTAGAAGTACGTTAGAAATGTTTTTGATCAAATGAAAGCACTTAGAAGTCTACAGGACAGTGTCTGGTATTGTAACTCAAGAATATTAAGTAGAAGTGTGATGGCTGACATCAGAGTGCCCCGTGTTGCTAGGCACTGTGCACTAACACGCCCGAGCGTTTAACCCCACCGCCCAGTGAGGGTGCCGTGGCTGCCCGGATTCCTAGTCAGCGCCATCCATCCACCCTCCACACACACCTGCTTCACTCTTCATCATCTCTCCCGTCACAATTCGTGGTCATTTCACTGTCCTCTAAGTCTACCCAACACTCAGGCGCTTCAGTTCCTAGACCTCCCCTCCTCTAGTGTTTCATCCTTGCCCTCTGCCTTATCCAATAGCCCCCATGGTCAGAAGCCAGACACAGTCATTCTCAATAACTGCACCGTCTTTGAAATCATGATTTTAAAATATCTCATGTTGACCACAGACTCCTATTTTTCCAGATCAAGCTCCCCAGTACTACCCCCCAGTAAATCAT